AGGTCGAGGCTGCGGTGGCCGGGAGCGGCCACTGCACTCCAGTCTGGGCGACAGAGTGAGACTCCAACTCAAAAACAAAAAAACAAAAAAACAAAAACAAACAAACAAACAACAACAACAAAAAAAACCTCACTTCTGTGCTATCAACTTTCCAATGGCTCCCTCTGACTCAGTGAGGTGGCTTAATGGCGATGCTGTAGCCTACGTGGCCTACCCAGTCTGGGTCCACTGCCTCCCTGATGTTGTTCCTTTCTCTCCCTCCTCCTCTGCTCCAGCCGGTTTGGCTTCCTGCTTCTCCTCCAGTAGAGTCAGGAGCTTGCCTCCAGGCCTTCACCTTCACTGGTCCCTCTGCCAGAAACACCCCCCCACCACCACCATATGCACTCTCTTCCTTCGGTTCTTTCCTCAAATGTCATGTTATTGGCTAGGTCTCCCACTACCACCTTATAAAAACAGCAACTCCCCTCTGCAACCTTGGTACCTGACACCTGACCTCTACCCCTCTCTCCGCTAGAGGTCAGCTCCAAGAAGGCAGCCATTATGTCTTCTTGTTCACTATTGTATTCCCAGCCCCACTCCACCCCAAAGTTCACACTCAGTCGATGGAAGGCTGAGTGGATGACATAGCCAAGGCTGAGTGGATGACATAGCTGGAGCTGGAGAACAGAGCACAGCTTTGGGCAGAACATTCATCTCTCACTCTGATTTGGAAAATGGGAGAATCTGGCAGTGAGGAGAGTCCTGTAGGGGACCTGCCATCTCCCCTTGGAGCTGTGCTTCTCTCCTGCCCCCCAAGTAGAACTCTGGGACCCTGGCCAGGCCCCCATGCTCTCTGGGTCCCAGCCTGGGAACTGGGACCGAGGTCAATACTGCCTTTACAGTGCTCAGGGCCAAGTAGTGATGCTCCCTCCACCCCCCAACCCACCAACCAGGCCCTACCTTGGATGTGGGTCACATGCTGGGGGTGGGGATGGTGCCGGGAGAAGAATGAGTGGTGGCTGAGGCGGCCAAAGCGGTAGGTGCCAGGGGTTGGAGGCTTGGAAGTCTTCAGAGCCTTTGAGATCTGCTCAAAATCCACGATCCCTGGGATCACCAGTTCCTTCTGTCGTTCACTGTCCCCGTGGCTCCTCGGTCTGGGCTCTGACTTTTTCTCAGGTTTCAGCTCAGCCTGAGGACTGAAGGAGAGGGTTTAAGGAGAGACGAATGGAGCCTCCTCTGGCAGTCCTATCCGCTCCAGCTCAGGGCTCAGTACTTATTCCAGAGTCCATTCCTGAGGAACTCTGAAATCTGGTTTCCTAGATTTCACTGCCACCCCTATGGTACCCAAAGCCAGGCCTTCCTCTGAGTCCTTTCCCAGCAGGTGCAGCCTGGTCCTAGTGAACCAGATGCCTTAGCAGGGAGCTAGGATCCATTTGAGGAAACTCAGATGGACTCTTCCAGGCCCCCCGTTTTCTCCCAGAGATCATATCTAAAACAAGAAAGAGAAGTCACAGACCCACCTACTCGTCCAAACATCTGGGATGGAGCAAAGGTACCTTATATGTACTCCCTAGGGGCAGGAGGCTGACCCCAGCAAGGGCCTCTCCCCAAACAAAACTGTTGATAGCACAGAAGAAGCTGGCTATATGCTGTCATCCTCCCCCATGCCCTCAGGGGCTGTCTTGGCCCGGACTCAGCAGCCCGGGCTCAGCATCTAGGCACCAAAGCTAGAGCCCAGACCAGATCAGGAGTCCGTTTCCCATGGGGGCCCCTCCCAGGAGTTTCAGAGCTGATAGGGCAGCTATCAGGGCTGTGACGCTGTAGGGAAGCTTCAAGTTCTTGTTACGCTTTGCTGGAGACAAGGCGTCTCAGGTTCTCTGTCCTTCAGCCTGCACCCCTCCCCCTCCTGAGGATGCTGTGTCCCTGGAGGAGGAGGTTGAGGTCAGCAAAGGTGGGCGGCTTCCGCTGGGGTCTGCTGGGACCACCTGCCTGATCGCTGTCTGCACTCCCTTCTCCCAGTGACCCTGGCTGAAGGGAGTCCCTCTGGAGGAGTGCAGACGGGCTCTGGATATGCTAAGCAGGGCACGCTGCCCTGGGACCCTCTGAGGACTTCGCTGGCCAGGCCCCTGAGCTTCCTGTTCCATTCTCCATTCGCCTCTAAGGGATCTGGGACTTAAAGAAATAAAGTAAACCCTCTCTGAAATTTGCAGTTAGCTGGCTTCCTTTCCCCCCAAGTAACAGAGGAAATTGCCTCCTGAAAGCACCTGGAATTTCTGTGCTCAGTGCTCCTGGCCCCTGCTCAGGTAGGTCTTCTTCTGATCAGGGGTCCCCACCCATAACCGGGGCTCACTTAGGCCTGAGGACCCACTGGAAGCCTCCCTGTCTGGCAGTGGAAGGCCAGGAAAAACTGCCTTTCTGGGACCCTCTGTCTGTTGAGCTCCCCCAAGACTAACTTTGTCTTCCACCCATCCCTACCCTCTCACTCCCTCCTCAGTCAGCAGGATGGGCATTTGGGGGCCTGACCTCATCAGTGGATGTTCAGTCAATTGAAGGTCTGTAGCCATTGTGTGGTTCCTAATGGAATAAAGACGAATGCACTTGGTGCTTAGTGCTGAAGATGGAGAACAGGAATTCCCATGGACTGGTGGTGGGAGTAAACTGAAACAGACTCTTGGGGGGAGAAATGGCAATATCTTATAAAATCGAATATTTGTGTGCTGTATCATCCAGCAATTTATCTCCCAGATACAGGAGAAACTCTCACAGATGGGCAACAAGGGCTACTTATAAGAAAATTCATATGGCCGGGTTCCGTGGCACGCTCTGTAATCCCAGCACTTTGGGAGGCTGAGGTCAGTGGATCGTCTGGGCCCCCGGGTTCAAGACCAGCCTGGGCAACTTGGTGAAACCTCGTCTCTATAATAAATAAAAAATTAGCCAGGCGTGATAGCGCACACCTGTAATTCCGGCTACTTGGAAGGCTGAGGTGGAAGAATCGCTGGAACCCAGCAGGTCAATGCTGGGTGTGTGTGTGCCACTGCACTCCAGCCTGGGCAATGGAGTGAGACTCCAACTCAAAAAAAAAAAAAAAAAAATACTCATATAGCAAAAACCTGGCAACAACCCAAATATCCAAGGGTCAAAAAATGGATAGGTAAGCTGTGGTCCATTCAGACGATGGGACATTTTATTGGATGAATCTTATGAATCTTAGTGCTAAGTCATGGAGAGCACATTCCAGAAGGCCACATACATAAGATCCTTTCTAAAAATAAAAGTTTCTAAAAATAAAAGCAACATGATCATAAAGGTGAGAAGACAGCAACAATGGCAAAGAGCAGGGAAATGCTAGCTAGAGTTCAGAGTGGCTGCCTCAGCTGGGATATGGGTAGAAGAGCCCGGAAGGAGGCATGTTAGTGGTAACAGTCTGGTTCTTGGTTTGGGCGGTGCATTTACTGGAGTTCATATTATCAAATGAACTAATGAAAGGACACGGATGAGAGATGGTGTGAAAACAAAGAATTGTGATTAATCTAAATCTCTAGACCTGAAATAAATACATATATTAGATATAGCCAAAGTGCTAGGGAAGAGCATCAATGCCTTCTGAGAATTAAGCCTTAGAGTCACAGGATCTGCAAGGGACCCCAGAGATCCCCCCAGTGCTAGCTTTCATTAGGCTAGGGTGGGATGAGCTGGCATTATCTGAGACCAGAGAAGGGAGAAACATGTGGAGTCTCACAGCAAGGGACTAGAACCCAGGCATTCAGGCTCGCAGGCTCCTGATATTTTCTCTAAAAACAGTTGGCACCGTTTCCTACAAAGGAAACTTTGGACAGACTTAATGCCAGGGGCCAGGTCCTAGACTGCTGAGATTATGCAAGTTTGGGAATAGGGCATCTGGAAACCTCAAATCCACCTGCCTTCAGGAAAAGGCACGCTTTAGAACAGACTTGCATCATGACCCAATTCACATGCATGTGTGCACGTGGGCAGACGGGTATGAACGTTCCCACAATCCAACCACAGAACTTCCCTTTCTACCTCTGTACCCCTGGGCCCTCTAGTGTCCACCTCCTCCCCCAAGAGGTCCCTGGACTCACCAAGGAAGTGCTCGCTATAGCATTGGATGAGAAGCCCTGCTGCCCTAGCAGGAAAGGAGCAAGAGGACAAATTGAGGGGAAGGCTCCTGGCTCTGTGGGCAAGCCTGCCTGCTTTGTGACTGCGCTGAGCCCAGTGGTTGCTAGGTTACCTCATCCTCACAACTCCAGAACCTCTCCCTTACTCCCCATTTGTCTCCTCTTCCCTGCTCCCAGAGGGGCAGACAGGGCTGCTAGGGACCTTCTCTCTGTCCAGACTATCCCCTCTGCCTTCCATCCAGCTCTTACTTTATTTTATTTTTAATTGGAGTCTCACTCTGTCACCCAGGCTGGAGTGCCATGGCCCACTCACCACCCTCCCGGCATCGACCTGGTGGGCTCCAGCTATCCTTCCGCCTCAGCCTTCCAAGTAGCCGGTACTGCAGGCGTGCACTACCATGTCTGGCTAATTTTTTATTTACTGTAGAGATGAGGTCTGGTCAAGTTGCCTGAGGTGGTCTCGAACCCGTGGGCTCAGGCAATCCACTCGCCTTGGCTTCCCAAAGTGCTGGGATTACAGGTTGAGCCACTGAGCCTGGGCCATCCAACGCTTATAAAAAGGGGCCCGAGGGAGGGAAGGAGAACCTGGGGCTGGATTCAGCCAGCAAGTAGCAGGCAGAGAAAAAATCTGGCAAAAGGTATTGGGCTGGGCCCCAGCTTTGTCAGTCCCAACCAGCCTGAGGCTGCCCTAGAGGGGTCTGCCTCCATTCATCTTGTTTATGGGGATTAATTCTAGGGTTTTTTTTTTCTAAGGTATAGAGGAGAAAGCCCATGTGACCCAACAGCCCCTTCAGTCTTACTCTTGGAAGATTCTAGGTTTTCAGTTGGACAGAGGTTCTAATCAGATTCTGATACCCCATAGATATGTCACCTTGGGTAAGTTGCACAGACTGTGAAATAGTGGTAAGAATCCTTGCTTCAAATCCCCATTCTGCTGCTTCAATCCCCATTCTGCTGCTTCCTCACTGTGTGTCCTCCGACATCTTACTTGATCTCTCTGAGCCTTTGTTCCCATATCTAAAATAGAGATGGTACTCACAATTATTCTCACAGGATTTTTGGAAATATTAAGTGAAATAATGCACATTAAAATGTTTAGAACAGTGGCTGGCACCAAGTATGACCTGTTATTATTGCCTCCTCTGGGTCTATGAAATGAAGTACCTTTAACCCACTTCTGGGGTTTTTCTAAAGGACCAACAAGCTAATGGAAGTGAAGGCGCTAGTCATATGTCTGTCACACAAGAGATGCTCAAAAATGATAATAATACTAATAGTTATTTTTGGTAACTTAACAGAGGTAGTGGGATGAGTCCTTTGAGAATGATCTTGGTTAATTCACTTTACTAGAAGTTCAACTTGAATACCTGTAAAATGGGGGTAAGGATAATCCTTGGCACACAGGGCTGTAATGAAAGCAGCGACTGAAAGGGCTGTAGACAGGCTCTGTACACTACAGAAGACTTGCAGATGGTGCTTGGTGCTATCCTCGGAATGAGGTCACTGGCCCTCACGACTGATGGATGAGGTGGGTCTATTTGTTCTGGCTTCGTACTAGTGCCCCAAGGCTTCTAGACTCTGAGTCTTTTCCTCTGGGGAGCAAGGCAAGCCCAAGTCCTTCAAAAGTTCTGCCCCTTCCAGCTGATGGGTAGGGATTCATACCCCTGTGGTGGCCCCCTGAATAGGCCTCTGGTCTTGGCCTACTCCAAATGCCTCTTCCTCCACACAGTTTAGACTGTTTCCTGTTGAAGCTCTGGCTTTCCCTGGGCCTGTCTCTGCAGGAATGGGGTAACCCCCTTTGGAATCATTCTGAAAGGCCTCTCTTCCTTGCTTCTTGGTGTCCTGGCGATTATTAGGATAGATGATATTGTGTTTGGAAGAAGAGAGGGCTTTCTTCCCTCATGACCAGCTGCTTTCAGCACTCTTGGGGGATTTTTACTGTGTGAGCTGACACAGCTGAGAGGAAAACCCCTTTTTACTCTCTCTACTGCTGCCTTGTTACGCTTCCATTGTGTTTGGAACTGAACACTGGGTCTACATAGGGATTGAAGCTGGGATAATGAAAGAGTTTCTTAGGAAATGTCTTCAATGCTGGTTTGTAAAAGAAAAGCTGAGGAGACCTCTCTGACTTTTTTTGTGGAGAATCAAAAACAAGAGTGGGATCTGTCGGCCTGGGAATGATTTAAGGTACAGTCCTCAGCTTGGATGCTCAGTCATAAGAGGAGAAATATAAAACATTCTGAACATTTCCTGTGTTCCAGGCCCTGAGCTGACCCTTTAGTATATTACTTAATTTAATATTGTAGATGAAGAAATTAATGATCAGAGAAATCCTTAGTTATACTTGCTATAAATATATTCTCTCCTCTGACTTGCTCTTCTGTCTCCAAATGGAGTCTTTTAATAAAGATAATTCCTGGCCTGGCTCGGTGGCTCAGCCTATAATTCCAGCACTTTGGGAGGTCGAGGCGTGTGTATTGCCTGAGCCTGCGGGTTCAAGATCAGCCTGGGCAACTTGAAGAGACCTCGTCTCTACAATAAAATAAAAATAGCTGGGCATGATAGCACGTGTCTTTAGCTCCGGGTACTCGGAAGGCTGAGGTGGAAGGATTGCTAGAGCCCAGAAGATCGACACTGGGGTGGCCGTGAGCGTGCATGCCACTGCACTCCAGCCTGGGTGAAGGAGTAGACTCCAACTCAAAAAAAAAAAAAAAAAAAAAGACAATTCCTAATTTTATTGTAGCTCATTTGGCTGGGTACAGTGACCCACGTCTGTTATCCCAGCACTTTGGGAGGCAGAAATTAGAGGATTGCCTGAGCCCATGATTTTGAGACCAGCCTAGGCAACATGGCAAGACCTTGACTCTACAATAAATCAAAAAATTAGCTGAACATGGTGGCACACACCTGTAGTTCCAGCTACTTGGGAGGCTGAAGCAGTGGCCATGAGCATGCCATTGCACTCCAACCTGGGCAATAGAGTGAGACTCTGACCTCAAACAAACAAAAAAATATAGCCCATTTAAAAAATTTTGTTCTTAATGGTTAATGGTTTTTGTGTCTTATCTAAGAGAGTTTTGCCTGCTCAAAGTTATAAAAATATTCTCCTATATTAGTTTTCTAGAAGACACAATTTAGATTTGTGATCAATATGGAATTGATTTTTGGTAACATAGAAGTCAAGATTCATCTTGTTCCCCATACAAATATCCATTTGGTCCAGTACCATTACTTAAAACACTGTATTTACCCTACTTCTCTTGCAGTAGCATCTTTATCAAAATGCAGGTGTCTGTATAATGTGTGGACCTACCACTGCACAAACGCTATACTCTCACAATTACTCTAGCTTTAAATACATCTTGGTATCTAGTGGTGTAAAACTTCCATTTGAAAAACAAAAACTAGACCGGGCTTGATGGCTC